ACAGCACTAAACTATGTTTTCTACCTTTATCTTGCATCTACCTACCATTTCAGCATTTTATTACAAATAATAATAATAAAGGGAGAAATGTGGGATCCACATATTATAAAAATCAAACAAATATTCATATTTGACCTGATTGTTTATAGTTCATAATGCGTGATCAAAACCGAAAGTTTCTGTGATGACTGCCCTTGCACTGTTCACCATGTAAGAACTTATTCACTATGTAAGAACTTGTTCACCATGTAAGAACTTGTTCGTTATGCTTCAGAAGATTGGAGACTGACAAGAATTAGGCTTGAGGTGGATTAATGATTGTGCATTGAGCATTGACTCCCCTATACAGAATTTTATTGTTGTTAACAACCATTTGATCAATAAATATGAGAAATGCCCTCTCAAAAAAAAAAAATCACAGGGTTACCAAATCAAAACCTAAAGACAACAGTCACAAACAGGTAGCTAGGCTTTAAACTACAGCCTATCAATAATTTCCTTGCTTTGCTTCTGCCTTTTCTCTTTAAAAGTTTCTCCCTGAGCTCCCATGGAGCAATCATAATCACTTCCTAATCTGCTGCCAGATTTGAATTGATCTTTGCTCAAATAAACTTAAAATTTTAATATGCCTCAGTTTATCTTCTCATGGTTCTGGTGTCAGAAGAGGGAAAAAAGGAAGGAGATCCCCAATGACCCCCAAGAGCAAAGACAACCAGGTGTAGGTACCTGCTGAACCCACTGAGCTTGCTGCTTTCTTGCTGCCTCTGAAGGTCATGGGGGAGAGAGAAGTCCCCTTGGAACCTAGCTCTGCAGCTTTTACATTATGAACTGCCAGACTTTATTCGAGCATTTCTTTTTCTGGACTGGGTCCAGAAAGCAGCTGGAGTTAGACTGGGTCTGGGATCAGTCTGGGTCTTGTGCAAGGCCTCAGTGTCAAAATTTTTTAAGGTTGAATGAGCAGGTTAATCTTACCAAAGATGATTTTAAATTACAATGGTTTCAATGGAGAATTTTTAGCCTAGATAAGCTTATCCATTTATGAGGTGCCCTAGAGACTAAAGGGTCTCAGCTAAGCACTCACACAAAGGGTGGAGGGGAAATTATATTTCCTCATTTATAGTTTCTAGTGACCAGGATGAAGCCTGCTGGGACATCCCACTTACTCTAGAGCCTGCAGGCAGGATCCTGGGGAAACTGGCAGAAGCCAGCAAGGGTGAGAATTGTTAACCAAAGTCAGCTCTCTTGGATGTTTATCTGTGGTGTGTGGTTGAGAGAGGAAGGTAAAATTTCATATTGTCCCTTCCTTTCCAAATTCACACTGGCAGGAGAAAAACATTTGTAAGAATTAGATCTTTGAATTGTGGCTCGTGAATTTGTGTTCATATGCCCGTTGGTTTTTGTTCCTATCACTCCCCAGCTACTACTTTCTCATTTGTCTCATTTTATGTCCTGAGAACTTGGCTTTCTGCCTGTTGGGGCACACAGGTTGTTAGTTCTTGCAAGTGCAGGTAGCTCAGCTGTCAAGTTGGGGGCCCCAAAATATAGCTGAATAGAAATGTGGGTGGCACCCCATTTGTAGCTAGTATCCTACCAGTTGTTGCCAGCTCTCAGGGAAGTTGTCTGAGTCTCCCTCCCTCCTTCCCTCCTTCCCTTCCTCCCTTCCTTCGCAGTGACTCTGAATCTTTGGGGAAGGGGTAATATCTCATGTACCCTCTTTGGGGATAACTATTGCATCCATGGTTAAGCCATAAAACGCTTATTGGTTTTGGCTTTCAGTCATTTGTCAATGATACCTTAAATCTAAATGGAAAAAAAAAGAAAAAAAGGCTGTTCAAAACAGCCACATGTATTAATTGTTTGTCCTAGATAAAACCTATTGATAAGATATTTGAATCAATTTTTTCAGTGCTCTCTATGGTCATAAATTGGCCAATTTGGAAGCTGATAGAGCCTTATAGGAACTTTTTAAAAAGGTTTTTTTCACTAAGCTAAAATTAAGCTATATACTAAGAAAAACATTTCAAAGGCACTATGGAAGGATTTACTAAATCACAAAGACACACAGTTCTAAGACTAGAACATAGAAATCTTTTGATTTTTATCTTCATTGGAAATCCCCCTGATGTAAAGAAGCAAATTGAAGATAATATAGTTGGATGGGAGGGTCAACCTCCTGATATCATTCAGGTTGCAACCCAATTCTTTGAGGAATTAAAAAACAACTGTACTAATATTACAGATCTTGTCTTTATAAGAACAGAAATATGGCTCTAGAAACATTCAAAGCCCACCTCTCCTTTTTTTTTTTTTTTTT